CACAAGGTAGGATCATATACATGTTTCTTTCATTCCAGTTCCGCTGCGATTAGTACGTCTGCAAGATGGAAGTAGACCTATCAGTGAGTACTCGGGATCTGTTTTGATGCTCATCGATTTGGCATTGCCTAATGTTTTACCCTTTTGTAATAAAAGATATTATTATTATTATTATTATTAATACAGTATTAGTTTGATTATAATATTATTTATTAAGATTGAAAATAACAATTACAAAATCTATAAATAAATTGAGAAAAACAAAGCTTATGATAATCCGTCTCCAAGGCAATGGACGAATGTTACAATGCAGGGCATGCTTACTCTTCTTCACTAGATGCTTCACTACATATTTTGTCAAATCGCCTATCGATCTCAAATCTTTCCAAACAAAATTCATAACCATTTTTGTGCAATGACAAATTCTGTCGGTGGGTTCTCGGGGTCCTATCTTGATGCTCAAAATTCAAAATTATAGTTAAAAATTAACTTGTTAATTTGCACACGAACGAACTCTTGAACTTTTGTAAAAATATGAAGCCAGGATTTTTCCACCAGATCAGGTGCCTGTAGATTTTGTTTGTGTATTCATATACAGTTTACTCTTAAGATATCCGATATCTGTATATTCCGGCATTCTGCGTAATCCGACATCTGAATAATCATTTATTTGGTACCGATTGATATTGTATTAAGAATTACCTCTTTGTGTTTTTCAGCCTGAAGGCTAGAAGTGTCCAACAGTGATGGTGAGAATGTGGCAGTCCAAAAATCAACACGAATTTAACACGGTCAAAGGTCAGATGAATGTTTTATTTTCCTTTGAACTTTTAAAATTCGTCAGTTAAGTCACCTTTTTTTTCTTGTTCTTGCCATCCTGTTTGTCGTGTTTGTTGTGTATGTTGAGCACCAATGACAGTTGTGGCACCTGGCTATGCTTACTCTTCTAGACACCTGATACCACATTTCATTATGAAATAATCACTCATATATGACTGATATATGTTAAATGTTCATTAGATGCTACTAATGTGTTGTCAATATATTGATATCATTTCATTTTGAGATTCGGGACGTTAGTACATGGTGTATTTATTTACTACCCTTATAGCAGGAATATAAATCTTAAAACAGAACCTGAAACATGTTGTTTCACGATGTGTGATCTTCAGACAACTGTTCCATTTCAGCCTGTGTCTCTACTGAAGTTTGACAAGTAGAGATCTTCAGACATTTCAGTCTGTGTCCCTACTGAAGTTTGACAAGTATAGATCTTCAGACAACTGACCTATTTCAGCCTGTGTCTCTACTGAAGTTTGACAAGTAGAGAACTTCAGACAATTGACCTATTTCAGCCTGGGTCCCTACTAATGTTTGGCAAATAGAAATCTTCAGACAAATGACCTATTTCAGCTTGTGTCCCTACTGAAGTTTGACAGGTAGAGATCTTCAGACAACTGGACTATTTCAACCAGTGTCCCTACTAATGTCTGACAAGCAGAGATCTTCAGACAACTGATCTATTTCAGCCTGCGTCCCTACTAATTTCTGACAAGCAGAGATCTTCAGTCAACTGATCTATTTCAGCCTGCGTCCCTACTAATGTCTGACAAGCAGAGATCTTCAGACAACTGACCTATTTCAGCCTGCTTCCCTACTGAAGTTTGACAAGTAGAGATCTTCAGACAACTGATCTATTTCAGCCTGCGTCCCTTCTGAAGTTTGACAAGTAGATATCTTCAGACAACTGATCTATTTCAGCCTGTGTCTCTACTGAAGTTTGACAAGTAGATATCTTCAGACAACTGATCTATTTCAGCCCGTGTCCCTACTGAAGTTTGACAAGTAGAGATCTTCAGACAACTGATCTATGTCAGCCCGTGTCTCTACTGAAGTTGGACAAGTAGAGATCTTCAGACAACTGATCTATTTCAGCCCGTGTCTCTACTGAAGTTGGACAAGTAGAGATCTTCAGACAACTGATCTATTTCAGCCCGTGTCTCTACTGAAGTTGGACAAGTAGAGTTCTTCAGACAACTGATCTATTTCAGCCTGTATCCCTACTGAAGTTTGACAAGTAGAGATCTTCAGACAACTATTTTAACCAGTGTCCCTACTAATGTCTGACAAGCAGAGATCTTCAGACAACTGATCTTTTTCAGCCTGTGTCCATACTGAAGTTTGACAAGTAGAGATCTTCAGACAACTGATCTATTTCAGCCTGTATCTCTACTGAAGTTTGACAAGTAGAGATCTTCAGACAACTGATCTATTTCAGCCTGTGTCCCTACTGAAGTTTGACAAGTAGAGATCTTCAGACAACTGATCTATTTCAGCCTGTGTCCCTACTGAAGTTTGACAAGTAGAGATCTTCAGACAACTGATCTATTTCAGCCCGTATCCCTACTGAAGTTTGACAAGTAGAGATCTTCAGACAACTGATCTATTTCAGCCCGTATCCCTACTGAAGTTTGACAAGTAGAGATCTTCAGACAACTGATCTATTTCAGCCCGTATCCCTACTGAAGTTTGACAAGTAGAGATCTTCAGACAACTGATCTATTTCAGCCCGTATCCCTACTGAAGTTTGACAAGTTTCAGCCTTTACATGTTGAAATAGAGCTGTCTAGTATGTCATTAATAACATCAAGGCAAATGCCTCATGCCAAATATGAGAAACAAGAAATTTTGTTGAAAAGAATTTTGAATATAAATATGATATCCACTAAGTACATGGTTATTTGATGTCTATGGTAAAGGAGGTTACCTTTTAAAATGTAGCGAAAGACCTAACTGACGTTAAAGACAACAGAGTTTTCAAATTTTGTTTTTAGTTCGTAGTATAGGCGTGGAAGATGTGACGTAAGGCGTAAGAACTAGCGTTTGACAATCCCGTGACATAGGATCTTCGGGTTTGATCACGAGCAGTCAGTATGGAGCGTACGTGATACTATTCTTTTTATATATCATTCTTTATTTAAACTATATATATTTTTTATATACGGAATGGCCTCTAGATGTAACGAGGATGATCCTCCGGCAGTAATGGTGGTTATTCTCTGGAAATATCAGCTAGAATCTCTGTGTGGGCCCACGTTGCATTGACCGCTGGTATATGTTGGTGATGACGTCATTAACCAGTATCAATATTGATGAATATGATTTGTAAGTATATATATATATATATATATATATATATATATACTAGATATATCTGCAGGCACATTCTACTGACATTCAGAAATATCATTCAGCCTGACTTTGTCTTTAGGGACAAACTAAACTTCTCTCAGATTCATTCAGATAAAAAAATATGAAATGAGGGAGGAGATACAGGAACGACCTGCATTCTGAATTGGGTCAAATGAGAGAGGTGTTGATTGCACGTGAATTTAGAATTAGGTCAAATCAAGTATGACATTGATAGCACGTGAATCTAGAATTGGGTCAAATCAGGGACGGCGTTGATTGCACGTGAATTTAGAAATAGATCAAATCAGGGAAGGTGTTGATTGCACGTGAATCTAGAATTGGGTCAAATGAGTGACGGCATTGAGTGCACGTGCATTCTGAATTGGGCAAAATAACGGACGGCGTTGATTGCACGTGAATGTAGAAGTGGGTCGAATCAGGGACGTACATTTAGAAGTGGATCAAATCAGGGACAGTGTTGATTGCATGTGAATTTAGAATTGGGTCAAATCAAATGAGTGCATTCAGAAATGTGTAAACTTTATAGTACAAATGCTTGTATAGATTCCAATTGATCATAGCTAGTCATGCAGTTGATTTTCCTTCGGCATCCTCAAATCTACAAGTCTCTTGACCCTAAAGCATGGCTTGAAAGGATGGATATGTTGAAAGCAGGAGTATGTACTGATTCCTCTGGTATATTTTAAATTACATATATCGTAGCCTAAAAGTAGAGTTATAAGTGAACGTCAGGAAATTGAAAATCAGACTATTGTTTTAAAGTTACCAGCAAATAAATATTTAAAAAAAACATGAATATTTTCTCGAAAACAAAGAATGGATTCTAAAATGAAAAAAAATTAATAAATCTGTGTACAAGGGGAAATCTTGTATTATATATGTATTTCATAATGGAACATTTAAGATCTAATATTAACATATAATAAAGGAAAGATAACTACGTTCACCATTCTTCTCGTATCAAATTTGAATTATTTTGGCTTGTTAATCATTATTACTGTCATGTTTCTGTAAAGGTGAAATTCGGGAATTCAATCATCTCACGAAGGATACAAAGTGTCAGGGAAAAGGTATTAGCATTGTTTTGTTGTCATTCGTCGTTGAAACAATGGAATGTCAACAATTGATAGAGACAAGAGGTCAGGTTTAGAAAACTAGCGTCCTGTTAACAGATCACTGAAACTAAACTTATAGAACCAAGTCATCCCTCAAGCTGATTTTTTAATTTCATAATTCACACTGTAAAGGTCAATACTCTAGAAACTGGCAGCGATGTTGATCAATCTCTTTCTCTCTTTCTCTCTTTCTTTGTATTGATAACTGCGACTTCTGGAATGATCGTAGTGTCTCTTCGACTGTGTGACGTAGCATGGCACCAAACCCTAGAGATGTATTACTATAGAAACAGGTCAATGACCGACCTAATGTACTCAGTATGAGACTTACAATTATATAAGATTTTTTAGTTTATTACTAGTTATTCCCTGTTCGTTATGCTCTAGATCTGTTGTATAGGTTTAGTTGAAGTATGCATAGGAAAAATACAAACTCCTTAATCTTTATTTAACCGTCCTAACCTGGCATATCAGTACACCGAATGTAACGCAATTAGAGCGAATAGACGACTACGATCCATAGAAAATAGAAGAAGTGAATACACGAGGTACAGGGGGTAGAACATAGTCTACTGTATTGATAATCTCGCACCGTACACTGTATTA